GAGCAAGAGAGCAGAGGAAAGGCTGCAAAGGGAGCAAGAAGATCTTGACGATCGTCATGAGAGCCTCTTGTTGTTTAGCTTACCCAGTCCTACTCCTCCCACGATGATCAGCAAGCTGCCTGAAACATCCCTCCTCCTGAACTCCTCCCCCAGCAACCTGGTGGATCTCGTCAGCTACGACAATGTGGAGCTTTGCAAGGAGAGGAGCGGAGGGTAAGGGAGACAGCAAGGTTGAACTCATATCACAATGCGACATGTCATGGGGCATGAACTCATTACCTGCACACCACACACCATGTCACATACAAAGTCATATCAAACCATCACAAGTCATATCACACCATAACACGCCCTCACAAGTCAAATAACACTTTATCACAACAACACAACAAGTCATGTCACACAATATCATATCATGGTACATTTTAACACGTCCTGCCACATCAATTTCATTACATGGTCGCATAAGCGGCGTTTGCGATGACCGAGAAAGCTCCCTGCTCCAGCATTATCCCATGTCTAATCCTCGTCCTCGTCCTCGTCCTCGTCCTCGTCCTCCTCAGCAGCCCCCCTGCCCCCCTAGCCCCCTGTCCCGCCTTTTCCTCTCCTCTCCTCCTCGGCACTCTTCTAGACCTTGACCTCGTCATCTCACCATTGGCGCCACAAGAGTCGCAGGAGCGAAACCGTAAGCAGCAAAGTTTCCCATCTGGTTGGAGAAAAGAAAATCAGCAGGGCCGAGGAAAGAGAACAACCAAATAAACACAGGGAAGCTAGGAGGAATCAAAATGAAGGGAGGGAGGGAAGGGAGGGAGGGGAAGGGAAGGAAGGACGGGAAGGAAGGACGGGAGGGAGGGAAGGGAGGGAGGGGAGGGGAGGGGAGGGCAGGGAGGGGAAGGGAGTGGAAAGAAGCAGAATAGGAAAGCAGGCGACAAACAAGATGACAAAAAGAAACAGGATTGAAGCAAGCAGACAGAGAGGAAGAAAACTCTGGAAAAAGGAGATGGCTGGCAGAGACCAGCTGGGGGGGCAAGAGCAAGACAGCCGTTTCTTCGTACCTCGCCCGTGATCATTAGGGAGACTCCAATCCACCATAGGCGGCTTTGAGTGTATGACACCGACGCCTCTGCCTTAGTGTGCGCATACCGCTGAAGGTTCAGCCCGAGGGTTGTCACCATGTTCCCGATCTGCCCCATCGCAGAGGAGAATGTGAGTAGCTCCTCGTCCTCATCCTCGTCCTCGCCCTCTTCCTCGTCCCTCTCATCCTCCTTGTCCTTGTCCTTGTCCTTGTCCTTGACCTTGTCCTCGTCCTCCTCTTTGTCCCACACCCGCCCCTTTCTCCCTTGCTGCCCCCTCCTCCTCTTGCCAACACCTTCTTGCCCCAGTTTCCCTTCACTCTCCATGTCCACCCTGCTCCTCATCACTCGTCCTCCCCTCTCCTTCTCACCAGTGCCATGGTCAGCCCCAGTCCAACAGATTCGTCCGGGTCGAGCCTCCTGATGTTCCGTCAGGGCGGGAGAATTGTTCTGAGGGCAACTAGTGGAGCGAGCGAGCTAGAGGAGACGGGGAGGCGAGTAATTGGAGGAGATAGGAGAACAGTGTGAAGCAGGGTCTATGGCGGAGAATGCACAGTACGCACAGGGAGTTGAGATCTTGGTCGATGTCTGCGAGAACGCCTGGGAAGAGTCCTGCAACCTAATGGCAGACAGTCTCAGGTCTCCTCCCTTCTCCTCCCTCCTTCCTTCCTCCTTCTCCCTTCACGTCTCTCCTTCCATCCTCTTTGTCCCTGCTCATTTGTCCTTCCATCCCTCCTCCGTCCCTTCCCCGTCCTCGTAATCCTCACCGGCGGCAGGTTCGTATTCTGCATCCCTCCTGCTTGCATCAACTTGAATCCTCCGCTCGAACTCGGGCGAAATGGTGACATGCCTGCATCCATGCCATCAGCAGAGCCTGCCAACTAGTCCCACCAGGACAGGAGCACCGATGGCAGACTCCCCTTCATGGACCTGCCTCTGCATCCCTCCTCTCCTTTCCTTTCTTCCTGTCTTCTCTTCCTGTCCTCTCTTCTGTCCTCCAATCTCCCTGCCCTCTCCCGCTCTCCCGCTCTCCCTTCCCCCCCCTTCCACGCCATCGGCCTTTCGCTCTATTTGTAGGAAGATTGACTGTAGACTTTACTCATCTTGTACCATTTCATTTACAACGGTGAAATAACGGTTACACAACGGGGTGTAACGTGATTTTTGCGTCCTCATACCGGATCATGGCATGGAGTGGAGGGAGAGCGGGTTGTGATGCCGACTACGAAGGAGGAGGAGGAGGAGGAGAACCAGGAGAGTGAAGGGTAGAGGAATCAACATGGGAGGAGGAGACAGTGCCATGGAACGAACAACCTGGCGATGAGGGTGCAGCAGCATCGTTCATGGTCTGGATCCCGACCATGGGGGGAGGATTGATGACGGCACGGACATGACGAGCTTGTGGAGTGAGCGATCAGTGTAGACCTGCCGGTGACAGGGGATGGCAATGAAGATGAGAGAGCTCGGATCTCTCAGCTAGGAAAAAGCTCCTTGCTCCTTGCTCCCTGCTCCCTGCTCCTGCGAATCAGGGTTGTGTTGGAAAGGGAATACAAGGACCATGAAGGAAGAGCTTGGATACACAGCCTTCCATGTCAATCGGATCTGCGAGGTCCATGACGACACGATCACGTCGATAGCAACATGGTAGCAAGCATCTCCCAGCGCGGGGGCGAGTCTGAACCGGCGGTTGCAGGAGTGACATGATGTACATGGGGACGCAGAAGGGAAGGGTTATCGTTTACACGCTCAACCCTGGTAGAAGACGATCTGTTTGTTGTGGTTGCTGATGTTCTTGTTGTGTATGTTGTTGTTCTGATGTTCTTTTGCTAACTGCGACTTGTCCCCTCGCAGATTTTCAGAGTGAGAGCCCAGATGCAGTTTGTGGGTGTTTTGAAGAAGCAGCGGTGGAAGTGGACGGAAGTGAGGTATGAGGAGCAAACACAACAACCTGCGATGACAGCTGTCGGAGCAGGAGGTGAAGAAGATAGACATCGTGGAAAGCCTGGGAACCCTCCTTGTCGTTTGTGGGAGTCGGGTGGAGGTCAGGGATCTAGCGTCTTTGGAGGAGCTCTATAGAGTTGACGGGTTGTACTTGCGGCTGCGATGACATGGTTGTAGGATGTAATGTTCTTTAGCAGGCGATTCTCGGATGTTTGCACTGCGGATGTGGTGAGTGGAGGAAACAGAGAGAGGAGCAGCAGGAGATGGAGGAGGAGGAGAGGAGCAGGGGCAAGGGCAGGGGCAGGGGCAGGAGCAGGAGGACAGGGAGAAGGAGGAGGAGGAGTCTGTATTGAGAGCTGCTGAGCTCGGAATGTGGCAGTCTGGCTGCCACTACTTGCTCGCTGCCAGCAACGAGTCAGTCACCGTCTTCAAGCATGAGGAAGGATACACCCGTGACCGTGACATCAAGTCTGCCTGCTGCCATGTCCTCGGGCGCGAGTGGGTAACTCGGTCTTGCTGGCAGGACGGAAGATACAGTTTGTAGCATCTGCTCCCACGGCAGCATGCTCTACGTCGCTACGACCGCTGCGTTCTGGCTGTACAGCCTCGGAGACAGCGCAGGGCATGTTGTCTCCCACGTGCCTCTAGAAGCAAGCCCGACATGGTGGGTTTCCCCTTGTGCGATCAGTAGAAGAATGTTGTTGTCGAGCTGCCAGGCTGAAGCCTTTCCATCCTCTCCTCCTCTCCTTCGAATGCCTGCTCCTCCTGCTCCTCCTCCTGCTGCTCCTCCTTCTCCTCCTCTTCCGTATCCTGTTGCTCCTGCTCCTCTTACTACTCCTGCTCCTCTTGTTCCTCTTTTTCCTCCATCTTCTTATAACTCCCCATCTCCTTCTCCAACCTCTCAAATCCTCTCTCCCCTTCCCTCCACACTGCTCTTCGCTTTTTGTTTTCTCTCCGCTTCTTCATGACTGCCGTCTCCTCCTCTGTCTCTGCGCTTTCTCAATCTGATCTGAGATGATTTTGTGGAAGCTGGACGCCAAGGATTCACCTGAGGAAAGATGAATGTGGCGATGCTCAAATCTACTTGAGTTGCCCGCGGAAAAGTTGGAAATGCGGTGAGTAAGCGATGATGACGAAAGGTCCTGATGGTTGGAGTTGTTGATTGTTGTTGGGGAGGATGGTGATAATTGTGGGGATGGTTGTGGTGATTGTGGTTGTTATGATGATAATGATATGAGAGGAGGGGCAGGGGCAGGGGCAGGGGCAGGGGCAGGGGCAGGGGCAGGGGCAGGAGCAGGAGCAGGAGAGAGAGAGAGAGACAGAGAGACACAAAGAGAGAGAGGGAGAGAGAGAGGAGGGCGGGGG